AGAGCACGACCTCTTTTATCTTCAATGGAAGTGTACTGATACTGTTTAAGGTGGTTCAGAAAATTAGACCATGTCTGGTGTTTGATCTGGATGGTTACTGACCAGTAGGAATACAAGATGTCTTAATACAGTTTTGTAATGTACTTTATATGTTTGCTAACCTCACTGAAGTAGGATTGAATTGTCCCCTCAGAGTCACATTTGCGACTTTCATTGGCACCAGTAGGAGTGAGAGTATGTGCTTGTATCTATGTCTATGCAGAAAATTTGGCTGATGATGACTTTTAAAGAAAGTCTGAATGGTGTAGAAGAAGTGGAGAAAGAATAAACAAGAGGAACTACTTTAGGGTGTGATCCTGCAATTTACTCCACATTTATAACTCTTTATTGACTTCAGCTGGCATTCCCCATGCAAATTGAACCTTTTATTAAAATATGTTCTAAAGGCATGGCCCTGCAAAGTGATGCAAGTGCACAAAATCCATTGAATTTAAATGGGATTTGAGAGGCTCAGCACTTTGCAGTACTGACTGTTAAATTTGCCTCTGCTGTGTGACTAATCTACCTGATCATATTAAATATCAATGCATAGATGGTGGCAATAAGTATCTCTTCTTAGTTTGTACGTGGACATGAAGAGAGAGGAAAAGCAGAAAGATACTTCCAGAAATGACAGTAATTTTTAGATACTAAAATAATGGCGCACGCGTTTCATTTCTATTCTGTCTGGGTAGCTCTGTAAATTGTATATTGATTATGCTAATATACTTAGTGCCCCTTACTTATCTGCAGATATTATTCAAACATGTAGATGGAATGCATGCTTTATAAAGTAATCATCATAGGAAGAATACTTTTGTGGAAGATAAGTTTTAAATTCAAGTACCAATGTTAAGCTTATGGCAAGTTATATTGAGTTATAGGAAATGCAAAATATAAGTTAAATATGTATATTTATATTGTAAATCAAATCTTCTCATGCCCCTAGCAATCTTGGTTGCTGTGTTAAGTTTTGTTTTGTTTCACATCCCTTAAATAAAGTGTTTTTAGGAAGGGTACTAAATCAATAACAGTCTGTTTATAGTGTATTTTGGAATATGTGGCTTCTCTTTCTTTGTTTAACAAGCTGAAAAGAGCATCAGACATTCAGGGAAGTATGTATTCTCTCTCTCTCTCTCTCTTTAATTTATTAGCCTACCCATAGTAGAAGAAAATAGCCTTTTTTCAATTATCTATAGCTTTTATTTTGTTATAGTTTGTAATAGCTCAAAAGCCATAAATCATAGCCTCTGTTCTCCATAAAGGATTCCCTCTCAGTGAAAATGCACCTTTTCATAGTACTCCCACATTTCTGTTTTCATCCATTCCTTTTTCCATATGAGGTCTCCCCAAGCATGCACCACTGCTGTCTGGTTCTATTAATTGGTGTACTAATACTAACAGACTGACCCTTCCATGTGGGGTAGCTCAGTTAGTTAGCAGAAGATGTGAATTCTTCCACTGTTAGCTTTATAAACTCTACCCCACATACATAAGCCTTGTGCCACCTTGACAACTTTTCTAGGTAGGAGGGTGAAATCCTGGCTGACCAGCAGATGCTGAAGTAAATTAGTAGAAGGTTAACTCTGCTGTCAGAATCTATGGGCCAAATCTGTTTGTTCCCCCACTTAGTGACTTCAGAGAGACGATTTGCATAAGAAGGCAAGTAAGATTTCGCCCTAACAATGTTGGTTTTTCAACTTTCCTGGAACCCTCTGAGTCTGGGCATGCAGGATAGTCTGAATTCAAACCAGAGTTTTCACGGGCTAACAAGTAGCTCTGCCTCTTGGATCGCAAAGCTCAACAGCCCTTACTGTTTTTATATAAAGTTCTTGTTTTAGAAATGCATTTTTGTAGTAAAGTTTAAATGCTGTTATGAGTCCAAATCCACCAGCCTTTATAAAGGTAGAGACAGCTGAAATACTAGAATTCTGTTTTCCCTGACTGAGATCTTCTTTTAAAATAAATATTCTATTCAAATAGAATTTTCCACAGTGAAGGAGTGCAGGGCCACAATTGTTTTGGTGAGTGATTCTTGTTTAGAAACACTTCTTTTTTAAAAAAAATTTCATCATGTAATTGTATAAAAGGGAATTGATGGTTTATTGCTTTAAGAAGCTGACAATGTTCTCTGATCTAGTTAGCAAAGAAATATTTCCACAGCTAGCAAAACAGGTGACTCTGCAGTCATAAGCACTTAACTGTTCAGATAAAAAATATTGTTTCTCTGAAATAATGATGTCACGAAAGTATCTAGAATTAATATTCAGCCATAGCAGCGTAACATAACATGACTGGAAACACAGGCTTTAGCTCTCCATATGTCCTGAGGTTTCTTCTTTTATTGGCATTCAATTACTTTTACTATCCCAGAGTTCTCTTCTTATGGTAGGCCATGCTAAATACTTTATATATTAAAAAAAAAAAAAAAGTCCAAAGTCAAAACCCCTTGTTCACAAATATAATCCTAGACTATAAATAATCTTTGTTTTTTACAGTATTAACTAGAAATATTTGACATATGCTGCTGCTGTCCACATATCCTTCCTATACTTATTTTTAATGTAGTTTGCTAGCCAGAAGCTTTTGTCTCATGTTGGTATAAAGCGTAAAGCCCCTAGTAGAGGGATATTGTTGAAAATTGCCTTTGTTTATTCAAAGGAAACACAATGCTTCAGTTAATGCTTGGGGAAGTAAACATTGAAGTTGGGTATGAGATTTAGGGTGATGTTTATCCAAGTGAGTTTAACATGGTATGATAACTGGAATGACACTGAAGGCTAAAGTTCTTATAAACAGGCTATGAGAAGACTTAATATGGTTCCTTTTTAGTACTTTGTGGCTACAGAATGATGGACTGGACTATAATTATCCAAAGTAGCAAATAATTGTTATTAGATGGAGGAAGAGTCTGGCCATGGTGTAAAGGAGAACTAGTTCATATTTTGTAGGCTAACTCTATGATAAAGGTTCCTTATTCTAGGGCTTCTGTTTTTGTTCTGTTCTCTTCTCTACCATATTTTTCTTTTCAAGGGTTCATCTTTCCTGACAAAACACATCAGTCTAGTTGACTGTTATTGGCAAGTTCTTTATGCAATGGCCTGTTGTGACCTACTTGGCTCTTTTGTGACTAAGAATCCATAAAGAGCTTGAACAACAGTTTAAAAAAGATGCTAACCACAAAGTTACGTGCTAACAAGCTGGTCAGAAGTTTACTTTCTTTTTTTTAATGTAACATGTATGGAAGTTGAACTTTGAAAATGTGCACACTTTGGAGTTTTCATACAGGAGAGTATTTCTCCAGAAAAGATTTAAAAGCAGAGTACTATACTAACAGCAGTTATTTTTACAAAATATACTATGGTACATTTACTAAAAATAAGCTCGTTTGAGGTAGTCTTCAGGTGTTTTTATGTATTAATTTTCAAAATTCTGCAACGTGCCTTTCAAACAGTAGTACAAATTAACAAAATTTTGCTCTGTATATGTGTCTGCCTCCATTAGTAAGGAGAGGTTCTGGTACCTCTGCTGATGGAAGTAATCAATGCATTTCTGCAGAAAGACTTAGTCCCCCAGTTTACATACCTTAAAGGCAGAAGCGAAGACCTACTTAAAGCAGAACAAAACAAATCTTGTTAACATCCTAGAAGGCTACTGTCTGGTCTCTAAACTTCCCTTTTTGGGAACAGCTGTTGGGAAGGTTATTTTATATCCACTTTCATGATTTTTTGAGGCCTGCTGATGATTTTTTGAATACATGGCGATACTGTAAACATGAAGTCTCCTCTCTACACTTTTTCCCCACTGGAAGGGAGAAGGAACTGTTTTTCGCTACTGCACCTTCAACTCAAAGAGTTTTTGCTTTTGGGAGTGTAATAAGGAAGTAGTTCTGCTCCTTGACTCCTCCCCTACCTTCACTTTGGTGGGTCATTTTCTGCTGTGAATAGCTTCAATGCCTGCCTCTGCAGCACCCTGTAGCTTCCAAAAGCAGTCACAGAATGAAGCTGACATGATTCTTGTCAGTTTCACTGCTGCCCAGAGGGTTTTTGAATAGTCAGTCTGGCCAGAGTGGTGTGTGCTTAGGGAATTTGTGAGCCATAATAAAGATGCTGGTATGGTCTGTTTGCAGACTAAGGGTATGTCTATACTACCCGCCGGATCGGTGGGCAGCGATCGATCCAGTGGGGGTCGATTTATCGCATCTAGTCTAGATGCGATAAATCGACCCCCGAGCGGTCTCCCGTCGACTCCTGTATTTCACCTCCATGGGAGGCTCAGGCAGAGTCGACGGGGAAGCGGCAGCAGTCAACTCACCGCAGGGAAGACACCGCGGTGAGTAGGTCTAAGTACATCAACTTTAGGTACGTTATTCACGTAGCTGAAGTTGGGTAACTTAGATCGATCATCCCCCCTTTAGTGTAGACCAGGCCTCAGTAAGACTGCACTGTGTTGGTTCACTTTTGCAAGGCTATCTTCACAACTGTAATGGTAGCTTTTTTTTATAAAAAAATCTTAAATTTAGTGGAAATTAATGGTTTAGCACCCACTCCCGCTTTGCCAGGAAAAGGTTCCCATTTAGCAATGTAGAGTAGGTGAGGGGAGTCTCCATGCCTTGTCTTAGTCCCTGATTTAGTTATGTACCAGAATACAGTACAGTGGATTGAAAACAGATATCCAAGAGGAAATTTGACTTGTTTCTTAATCCATGAGATCTCGTTGGTAAGGAACTCTGCTGCAAGGAAACTACATGCTTGTGGACAAAGTGTGGTGCTATGGTCTGGTTTGAGGTTTTGCACCTTGCAGTGATTCTGTACTAGGCAATGTTCTCTTGCCCTGTTGCACAAGCATTACTGGCTTTCAGAACTGAAACTAGGGAGATGACACATGAGTCATTTCAGCTACCCACCTAACATCTTGTGTTTTTTTTTGTTTTTGTTTGTTTGTTTACCTTTTCCTGGCAGTAGAAGAAAATGAAACGGAGGACCAGCAGGCGGGTGTGGGACAGATAGCCGCACAGACTGGTAATGCTGAATTCCTTCATTAGTGCTTGTTTGCTGGTTTACAACAGTGTGAGATTTATTTTTTCAAAGTCTGCTCTCATCTTACTGAATTTCAACTTCAAATGCACTTCTAAAGCCCAGGGAAAAAAAATGATCCCACTTTTCAATGTCAGAAAATCAGGAATATTGCTGTTTGTAGCGTATCCAACTGAAAGGGAAGCATTAACCTTTAAAGTCCAAGATGGTTTGTCTGCAAACAAACTACCATGTGCACCTGCAAAACCCAACCCTAAGCATTCATCTTTATGAAACTGTTGTTGTCTTGGGCTAGTTATTTTATAAGTGATTTTAAGCTTAAAATGGTAATTGTTCAGTTTGTTTACCAGTCACTAACCCCCTTCATGTAAGTCAGTGGGAGATGTGTAGATAAATCCTTTTGTTTAGGTCTGAACATACATGGAATTTATTATTAATAATTGTAAAGAAGTACTGCAAGTAGGTTAATATTATGGTATCCATTCCTTGTAACAATAACGGCTTTTTCCCCTCTTGTATGATTTCTAGAATTAAAGAAATGATTTTTTATTTTTTTGTTTTGGTTTTGATTAGGGTCCTGGTCCTGCAAACAGTTATATAAATACTTATTCATGGGGATAGCCCCATTGATTTAACTGAAGTTACTCTTATAAGGCCTCTTTTCTTAAGGGTTTTCCAGGTTGATTCCTAGAATTAGAGGATTTAAAAAAAAAAAAAAGGAATTTATAGGCAATAGTTCGAATTATTTCTTTTTAGATTGTAAAGAATACATTTAAGGCTGTTAAGTAAAATACTTTGTCATCCAGAGTACTGTATACATCTTGTTGTTAGTGTTTGTTGCAATGCAGGTGAAACACTTTATTTAAAAATAAATAAATTAAATGAGAGAAAGGAAGGTTTCTCTAAATCACAGGAATGAATTTATGCCTAAATTATTTGATTTTTTTTTTAACTTGAGAACTAATAACTGCCATATACATTTTCAGTTTGAAAAACAGTGGGCTGTAAAGGTGAGGAATAATACGTCAGGAAATGGTCCAGTTTTCTACTATTTTTATTTTTATTTTTGTATTAACTCTGAGTTGTTAAATCTTGTTTGTGCATTTATTTTCATATTACTATTTTATCTTGTGTTCTGGTACATTCATTGTAGAATAAGATATTATTTATTTATTTATTTATTTATTTGACTATCAAGAGAACTTAATGCTAGAAATTCAAAAATAACTCCAGATATATCTGATCCAGGCAGTGCGGAAAGTCCATACTATATCCACATTGCCAGAAGTTTTTATAGTAATACTTTGTATCTAAGCTCTGGCTCTAACCATTAAATGTGCTTTTTATAGAGTACCAAGTTATAAATGTAGTGCAGCTACGGCATATTAATCTTACTGCAGAGATTTAATGAGGCAGTTGTTTTGCGATGGACACTACTGGGAGCAGAAAGCGACATAGTTTTACTTTACCACTGAGCTGCAGAAATATTTCTTGCCTGGTAATAATTATAACCACATGATCTTAGTTTTCCTTTCTTTTGCCAGCACTTTTCCATGCAGAAGTGGCTTGGAAGCTAGTGAAATGTATTGGAAACTGGGCAGTTTTCATGGTAGTTTGACATTTTAGCTCTGATCAGCCATGGGTCCTTGTTGCATAGAGAGAAATATGTAAGATGAGTTTCAAGAATACAGATAGTCTTTGCCAGTCCATTGAGATGCCTTTTAGATATTCATTACTTTTACTTGACTTTTATATGGGTTATAAAAAGTAAATGTGGTGAAACCTCATTTTTACATGGACAGAATGGAATTTCTGCTGGTTGGCCTTAAGCTGATCCCATACTTGAAATTAATTGAAGTCCATTGGTTTATTGCCGCCAACTCTTTTAAGCCAATGCAATTTTTCATTTTCCCCAAAGTTGCAGTTTTATTAGACCAAGTTATAGAAATAACATCCCTTATGAGGAGGAGGAAGAGGAGAAGGACAGAACCACCTGCCAGAGAACGTAGTAATGGGAAAATCATACTACTTTTAATTTCCACTTATAAATAATGTTAACATAATCAGTAACAGAAGACAGATCTTGATTTTTTTTATTGTGTTCATAAATTGACTTTATTTCTGTATCAAATCTAATCCTCCTTTCTATACTAGATAATTAGAAATGTAGGCTGTAAGCCATGTGCAGTTGCAGACATCGTAAAGTGGTAGTGGGGGCTAGAGCCGTGTTTGTTATAGATGGTAGTTGGGGCATGGCTGTGGAGTTTACAGAATTGACAGTACTAGTGTTTGCAAGTGTTGGGGATGGAGATGTTTGAATAGATGATTGTAGTATTTGTGGCTTTGTTAGTTGCAGATGTTAGGGTGAAGAGAGGCATTTATGGTACTTAGAGGTATTTGATACAGACTGTTTGAAAGCACGAGCCTTAATTAGGAAGAGGTAAAGATGCAACTGCATGCATATTGCATTTATGAACCAGGTCTTATCTGGGCTCACAAGGAGCTTTTCAAATGATGAAACTAAGCATGTGTGCAGTCACTAACAAACAGCCACCTCTGGGGTGGAAGACAGCTGCTGTTACGATTTAGAAAACCATTCCACAGACTCCAAGTTATATGACCTATTTAAAAAAAAATATATATATTTTGTGGTGGTGTCTCTCCAAGACAGTGAATAGGGAGGAAATGCATTCACCAACAGAGAGGCTGAGACTGCCAGAACTCATTTCACAGGAGCATCATAGGCTACAAGTGAACCTAGGTCCCAGAGGGTCCCCCTGAAGTGTTGACCTAAAAACAAATGTGCCAGGTGGCTACAGCATGTATTCTAAAGTTGCTGCAAAAGGGAATAAGCTTGAGTGAGTCCTGTCCCTGTAGAGTTATATCTGTGAATGCAGAAGTGGAAGCAAAAACATTTTTATTACTGTTAAAATTATTTTAATTTTAATAACTAGTATCTACGTAGTAAGCTTTGACTTGAGTAATTCTTCATGTTTTTGTGTGCTAAGGTGTGTGTGTTGTGGTGTTGGATTCTTGTAAAGTGCCAGTATTCATGAACAATAGTTCTTGAATTTTTGCCCGCCTTCCCCTTTTTTTTAAAGCATGGTAGTTAAAGCAAACAGGTCTGTAAACTTTATGTGCATTATTTAAATACTCATGTTAAAATTCAGACCCAGTGCCCACATTTCCCTGAATGCTGTCAGTTTTATGAGATGAAGCTGGGAGCCTGAGCTGAACTAACAGTATGCAATATGCATGTGCTACCTTCCAACACGTGTTTAATGATGTTGGGGTCAGTTTGCAAGAGTTAAGACAATTATTTCTTTTCCTGAACTGCTTGTAACCTAGTGGTATTTTAACTACTCTGTTAAGCTTACTGAAGAACTTGGAAAATGTTACTGGTACACAGATTGTTTAGATCCAGATCCAGAATTTAAAAATGGCAGAAGAGCTTTCCTAGGTTCAGATGGTGTCATTTTTGGCAATGTTAGTCTGCATACTACTACTTAATTTGGAAGTAGATGCCTGAGTTAATGTTCTTATTCTAGCATCAAGAAATTTAAAATTGTAAGAATCTTGCCATGTATGTAGGTGTGGTTTAACAGAGCAAACATACCCATTCACCACACTTACTTCTTTCACTCATTTGTTGATGCTCTGTAATATAACTCCCTTTAAAAACAAACCTTGCCATTTATCCTGTCAGAGAGATTCTTCTGGCTTAGCTCATGAGCCACATAGTGTGAGGAAGCTTACTTAACGACAGGTCTGTTTCATTTCTGGTTTATGCATAAGTATCCTCTGTCGTTGGTAAATGATTTGAAGGGCAGCAGTGTTTATTGCAGGTTTCAGGGAGATGGTAAGAGCCATGACAGTTGTGGCAGATGTAGGGAATGGTTGGTATTTGTGGCAACTGTACCATTGCAGGCATCTCATCATGGAGGAGTGGTGATGATGGCTTTTGTAGCAGATGGAAAAGGATTAGGTCCTAACTGTACTTCTTTCTCTGTGTTTTTATTAAGAATTCATTTTCTCAGGTGACTTATTCCAGCTGCATAAAGTGAAGCGTTCTCAAATGTCTGAAAAGCAGATGAGGCTGTCTATATGGAAAAAAGTAGTAAAATGTGTGGGTTCCTACACACATGTGTTGTATTGTGGTTCCTGAGAAGAACAAAAGTAAACTGCCAGTTTGCTTTATTGGAGAAGACAGATTGTTTTATTTCTGTCTTTGGGGGAAACGCTTAGTAAAATGGGCAAAAAGTCAGGAATAGTTAAGGCACCACAGTGTACTCTACCTCAAAAGAAGAAAAGTCAACCTAAATTACTCTTCATTTAACCTCATTCCAGCATTAGTCATTTACAGAGCTGAGGTAGTGCAATGAATTGTATGGTTCCTACTGTGCTCAAGGGATTTGGCTGAGATCACCTGACACATTTAACTTAGAACTTGATAGTGGGATCATGCCTGCTATTTTGGGGTTAGGACTAGCTTGTCCCAGTGATCCTCAAAACACTTGTTATCCCAAACAAGAGAAAGGTGTCCTTGTGGAGTAGTTACAATTTATAACAGTTAGTTTCCAGCTTCCCGTGATCTGGCAAAACAAGGAATCCATCCAGCTTATTCTTTAGTTAAATTGTATCCAAGTTAAAGTACATACATATAACTTTAACCCAAAGCATAGTTTTTTCTGTAATATTGTTCTACATCAAGTAATAGGGTGATAGAATATTAAGGCTGGCTTATGAAATACAGAACAATTTCATCAGTATGTTAATCAGTTCAGTTTATTTTAATCTTTTATTTAATTCTGGTAATTTCCTGTGAAATACTACAGTTAACTGTGAAAAGAAACTCTCCTAAACTCATTGTTTTTGTTTTTTTTTTAAATTTTCATTGAACACTGTTTAATTGTAAAGGTAATATTTCCTTTCTTATTGTGATCAAAGCCCCTGGATAAGCTGTGAAAAAATTGATAAAGTTAACACTGAAGTATGGGAGAGTTGTTTGAAAGGGGGAGAGTGCTGTTTAGTTAAGGTAGAGGGAAAATTTCTTTCATCATCAAGAATAGAAAAAAGTTAAGGAAAGAGGTTTCCTCTGCTTATTTAGCAATAAAATGTAAAGTGTGTTTCTCCTGTGCAGCAGGCTCATGCCAAATGTATTTCTGCTTCTTGGTAACAACAAGAACCAATCTGATTTTTAAAAGGATCTGTTCTTAAAAGCCCTGAGGTCACAGTCTTGATTTTCTTTCAGATGCTAACTGTAAACTAGAAGACAAGGCAGAAGATGGAGAGGTGATAGATTGTAAGAAAAGGCCAGAAGAAGGGGAGGAGTTAGAGGAAGAAGCTGTGCACAGCTGTGACAGCTGCCTCCAGGTGTTTGAATCACTGAGTGATATCACAGAACACAAGATTAATCAATGTCAACTGACAGGTAAACAATACTTATCGCTTTGTGGCTTATTGCACTGTTCTATTTCTGATTCCAGTTTTTTTCTTCAGATTCATCTCCCTCCCCCAAGTTGTTTTACTCCTACACTTGAATGCTTAAGCCTTAGGTGATGCCCATCATTAATTCCGTGGTAAAGTTATGCTGTGAACTGGTGCACCATAAATTTTATTCAGATTGGATAATTACTGCATTCACACCTGATTTAAACTGTGCTTTAGCTTTCAGAGGGCCTGGCTACTACTCTGTTTTCCAGACTTATAGCATACAGTTTTACATGCCTTTTGACTTAAATTAAAAAAAAATATGTCAACCGACGATGCTGGTAAACAGGTTTGACTGCAGTTGGATAATGGATGAATTCATACAATGGTGGGCTATAGATCGGGATCTGATACTTCTTTGTTCTTAGCTGTTACAACAAATGAGCAGACAGTGATCAATAAATGGAGGTTGAGGGGAATAACAGCAAATTGGTAGACTATAAATAAAAATGCAAACATTAAGTGGCAGAATTGAATGCATATTGGACACTGTTAACTTCTCACAAACACAGCTGGGTAACTGGACTTGTGACTAGCTTGAGTCATTTAATTTGTGGGCCAAGAAGCAGTAGTCTAAAGACTTGGGCCCTGTTCATCCAGTGAGATCTTCATAGGTGACACATTTGCTCCTATGGAAATCTTATTGAAGTAGTTTTGTTTTTAGGCTTACAAACTATTATGATGGATGATACACAGGTCAAAATAGACTGAATGTCAGGGGAAGGGCATTTTCTTTCCATTAAATAGTAAATTAGTTTGAACTATTAAGAGATGAAATTCAGTTGTTATACGATACAGCTATCATGGGGCAGGCTTTGCATGATTATAATTTTGTGTATGCAGGAAGCCAGTCCCATATATTAACCGTTTTATTGACAGTGTGTGTGTGTGCGTGTGTGCGTGCGCGTGTGTTTTCATTTACCTGTTAACCCACTGGAGTCCAAAAAGGCTTCCAGTAGTATAGACAGACAATAAGTGGCACTGCAGCTGATTCAGAATGAAATGGAGAAAGGAGACAGACGGAGTAGGCGGAAGCAGAAGAAATGTCAAGGGAAGAAACTGAATTTGTTGAAGGATTTTAATCCCAAACCTAGGTTGTGGAGGATGAAACTATGATGCAATGTGGAAGTATTTGTAATATCAGGAGATATGTTTTACCTTTTCTCTCTCTTTCCTTGCCATTTCTTGTTTAAATATTGTTCTGTCTTAAATTTAGGCGATTCAGTCCTTCCCTAATCACACCTGCAAGTTCTTAGTACTTGAATTGGCCCGACTTGAGGCAATGTCTCCTGTCTGTGACTGGTGAGGCACTGTTTCTGGCCGAATGGCTTTTCTCTATTTTATCTTATTCTGGTGTATTATTATTTTTCTGTCTCCTCCTCTTTTGTTACCTCTTCTGTTCTATCTTCTTTTGCCCTTCCTCACTCTTACTGGTTTTCCCCAGTCCCGCAACAAAAATTTCCTCCTCAATGCCCCCTTTCCTGCCTCAAATCCCCCTTATTCTTACCCTGCTTTCCCGCTTATTCTGGTGCCTGCCCTACCCCTTTCTTGCTTCTTTTCCCCAATTCGTTCTCCATCCCATGCAGTCCTGTGATTTCTCCCATGCAATAGGTTTTCTGCTCACATTGCAAGCAGCATGAACTGAACAGTGCTTCCACACCATAGCTGGGGAAGTGAAAAAGTCCTCAAGCACTGCTCCTGGTCTACATCACCTTTGGCCTTGCTAAAAGGCAAATGGTGCCATGCTAAATGAGGGCTAGAGTGAGTTTGCTGCATGAATCAATTTGGAAGAAAAAAAGTTTGTTTTTGAAGGGAGGTATTTAAGCCCATTTAAGAAAAAAACCTCCAAACTATATCACTCTTGCAAGAAAATGGATGGTTGTTAATGGGTTGCAGCAAGAGGATTCAAAATAACAAAATCCTTTTGTCTGCTTTTGCTCATAGGGTGCCAGGTAGGCAAAGAAGCCAACCCTCCTTTGCATAAAATTACAAATGATCTGCATGTATATATTTATAAGAGAGTAAAAATGGAGGAAATGACCAGTATAGTGGAAGAGGTTCCCATTCCTTGGCTCTTCAGAAAACTCCTAAAAATAAATTAAAGAAGTTCTTGTTAATAGGAATTGTGTGCCTGGGCCAAGAATAGTATAGATGTTATAGAACTAGGGCATGAAATGTATTGACTCTTGTGTTTTGTGCTCATTTCTACTATATTTGTTAGAAACAGTTATTAGACAAGTACCTCTGTAATAAAAGCAATAGTAATAATGCACATGAAATAAATGGTGTTTGTTTTTAGCATCTGTAGAGTTCTACCCAACTCACAATTAAATTAGTGGAAAAACTCTGTGACCAATGTCAGTGGGTGCAGGGTCAGGATCAAAGCTTCATTACAAAAATATAACCACGTTTGAGTTTTTTGAGCAGCCCCCGTTCTTCCTAACCAATAGCATCTATTTCTATCTCTGCTTGTCGTCTTTTTCAAGAAAGTCTATGAAACTAGTAGGCACTGAGGAGCTGTATAGACCCTTTTACAAGCAGTTTGTCCATAGTGTTCAAACTTGGGTGTCTCAGGTTAAGCTCCTAAATCCAAATTCTGTTTCCTACATCAGTATTTCTTGTGTTTCAAAAGTGCCTGAGCACCTGCAACTTGCATGGATTTCAGTGATCTTTGGAGGTGCTCTTGTAGTGGACATGGAGCTACTTTTTAATAGTTTATAAATACTGTATTTTGACCCTGTTCAGATGGTTGATGTGGGACTATACTGGGTTAAATCAACAGGGTTGTTGGGGAAACAGGCAGGAAGGCAAAACAGTGACTCTTGTATGAGAGACACCTCTTAGCAGAGCCTTTGTTGTTTGTTATAGGGTAATGGGAGAGCCATGGTCCCAAGGAGACTAGCTCACCCTCCTGTTGAGCCTACCAAACTGATAGCACTCCAGGTCATTCTGATTTCAGTTCTTATATCTATATTTAAGTTTGTAACTTGAGGCACCCAAGTCAGAAAATTTTGGCTTTCTTCTACTGAGACTGCTATGCCAGTCTGGATGAACACAATAAACTTGCTTTGTCAAATCTCCTTTCTGTTCTCTTCTCCAGAAATAGAAGTAGGACTGAGGCTAGTGATTCTTGGAGGAGTATCAGTTTTACTTTGCAGGCTCAATCTTGAGTATCCTGAATTGCTGTTTTGTCACTAAGTTATGTAAGGAAGGGAAGAGAAGCTATCCACAATTGGTTCTTTCCATCCAACAGATTGTTGGTGGGGTTGAATTCTACGCTTGCTTTCTGGAGGAGGTGATAGTTGCTCTTTTATCCTAATGTGCATGCTGTGATCTTTTCAATTTGGGCCTGATTCCAATGCCACTGAAGTCAGTGGAAAGACTCCAGTTGACTTCAGTGGGTGATGGATCAGGCCCTTTACGAGATATGCAGTAGTATTTTTTTTCCTATCATTTTTTTTTGTGCTGACATTTTATATGAAAAAAGCCGGTTTTATTCACGTTAATTGTTCGCACCTAAAACGTTCTTGGAATGTAGATAATGGATTAAGGGAAAAAAGACAGAATTTTTCACGCTATGTATTCACCAGTATGTAAGACACTGAACTACGTTAACTTAGTCTCCTGAAAAGATGAGTTATAAAGGTATAGTATTAATAGAGAAGTTCTCCTGATCTTAACGGTCTTCACTTTGTTCTTCTCACAAGGTTGTGTTTTTAATAACTCATGGATCACTTGCAAGCTGTCATTCTCTGAGTAAAGCTGTGATATCAGACAAAGAATCCTGGTAGCATTGTCGTTGATTATGAGGTGATTCTTTAGGTGTGTTTGTGTGGAGCCCCCTGTAAGGTGCAAATGTGCCTCGTGTACATGAGATAGGATTTTTTGAATACCAGTGTCCAAGATCACACATGCATCATGTTTCCATGCAGGGCCAAAATGGATGGGGCAGCCACAGCCCTCCCTCAGTTCCCTCTTAATGCCCGAGCAGGGAGATGGAACCCAGCCAGTGTCTGCCCCACAATTCTCTTCAGAAACTCTACATTGGTTCCTTTAAATCTCTTCCAACCTATTTGGTGAAGATCTCTTACCACCAAACTGATCAGTTCCCCAGTACAATGACCTGTACAGCGGGACAAGGCACTTTGAGCCAGTCGCCACAATTTACATCAGAATCCAATTCCTCAGGGTTCAAACTATGCCTGTCTTGTGATGGAACTATTTTTGTCAAGGGTGGATACAGCCTAGAGAACCACATCCCAAATAAGTTTTCTGTGTGGTAAGTCCTTCTCCACCAGGACCCACAGAGGAACACTCAGCTCAGCTCTTCTTGGGCAATCCATGTGGATGACTTTTGGACTCAAAAGTAAGGAGTACAGTAAGGCTGGATAAACTAGTGTTAGCTGGCACTCCCTTGGGCACTCTTCACTCTGGGATTGGGCACTGGAAAGAAGTGAAGGAGGATGCATGTAGAGTAGGCACCAGTGATGTAGGCCCCAACCACCTTAACATCAGTAAAGGCCGCTGTGTGCAAGACCTTGATGCCTATTGTCTGAGCACTGAGTCCCTCAGCACTGAGAGTCACAGAATGAGAAACCTGATACCAGTCCAAGGGCTTCATGTATACTATAGAGATATGCATATCACTGCTGAACATGTTCCTGGTATTGAAGAGCTGCCTGTCACCCACTGGGCTATGGGATATTGTGTCATTTGGGGGAGAGAGAGAGAGAGCGCACAAGCATGAGCATCTGGTGGTTAGAGCTCTTACCCAGGATGTGGGAGATCCAAAATCTAGACCCCCTACTCCAGTGACTCTTAAATTATTTATTCACTGTGGAACAACTTCCACAGGAAAGACTCAAGGAGGCTCACATCAGAATATCCTATAGCCCAGTGGTTAGAGCACTTACCTGAGAGGTAGCAGATCCCTGTTTAAGA